TTGACGATACATATCATACTTGGCATAGAAGGCGGAGACGTTCGCGGTGCTCCGATGTTGGCCGCGAGTGTACGCCTTCAACTGCGCGGCTTTGTTTGGTGGTGGTTCTTCGACAGGCCGAGTACCAGCCGAGACTTTTTCGATGGGTGGTACAGACAAAGTCCCAGCGATGGGGTGTGCAAGGAGTGCTTGAACTGAAGCCTATTGATCGATTTTTTGCTGTTGTCGTATCACTGCTAATGCACTTGTGCTTTTTGCTTTAGGAATGGTATTGGAGTACCAGAAGCCGTCATGGTCGAAGCCCGAGTCAAGATTTGGTGGATGCATCCAGGACGTAATGGAGACGACACCATCGCTGTCAGCAGTGCCGCGGTCGGGGACGAAGTCCATGATGAAGACACCATGCTTCTGGATGGCTCGACCGATGAAGAGGCCGCCCTTCCCGTGGTAGAGTTGGAACTCATGGTCGAAATTGTCGCACTCCAGGTGAATGCCCTTTGACATTAGTTGACTGACGCTTAGCGGATTGCAACTGAGGTTTTCGACGATGAGCACCCGTGCCATTTGTAATACGACGCTTGTCTCGAGGGATTGTAACTGAACGATCCCTTCCTTGCGTGTGCGCAGGTTCTGATTGTTGGCGACGGTGATCACGACTTCTCAACTCAATGTTTTCTCCCGCTGGACGAAACGTCCTGAGGAGCACATGTGTTGACCACAGCAACTGTCAAGAATCCAAGTGTTACGGCCGAACGGTTCGTCGCGAGCTATTGCAGCGTAAGTTGGATTTGGTTGAAGGCGGGTTTGTGTTGGAGCGGGCGGACGCTCGTCAAGATTACGGTGAGGCGGGAAGTCGGGTTCGCAGAAATCTGTTCGTGCCATGCAACTTATAATGTTGCATGTACGGCAGATGTGGCAGAACGGAGGTGAGTGTCATTTCTGTGTGAGTTGTTGTTATGCCCGTATGTGTAGAAAGCAAGTTGTTGACTTGGTTTCTTTGCGTGTCGCTCTTCGTACAGGTCCATGTCTTGCTGTTTGGCATGGAGCTCCGCGCACAGGTGCATCTCTGAGATCCTCACGTGAGAACGAAGGAGGGAGCGCGCCATGCGTAATTGAGGTTCGAGACCGGCAAGAACAATCGTGATGAAGGAGTCTTCTTATAAGTGTCCACCACTGCGTAAGAGTTTATCGCGTAGTCCCCTGCAACGATTAATATACGCCATTGCATTTTTGCCTGCTTGCATATGAATCGTTGTGAGTTGTGCCATCAGTCGACTCTTGGTCACGTTGTCAGAGGCTTGGTAGATGCTCCTTACATAATAGTGCGCTGTCATAGGCAAGCTCAGCTGAGTTGCCGAAGTTGCGATAAGTGTGAATGCTCTGTTGTTTCGTTGGTGTCAGATTGCGCAGGAGGATGGTGAAGGCCATCAGCGACTGATATGTGTAGACTTTCTTCTCTTGAGTAGTCCGGTTGGCAGGAAATGGCCAAGATCCGGTGAAGAACTCGAGGATCTGCGCGCCGTCCATCAGCAGCTCGAACTCGAAACTCCAGGTAAAGATGTCTTTACCGTTGAAAGGGAAAGACGTTTGAAGCTTGAGTATGTTGTTAAACTGCTGCTGCATATTGAGGATGTCTGTTGGTTTGTCGCATGTTTCTGAGTCCAGTGCTACCACAAGAGTTGGCAAGAAGGTGAAGGAGCCGGGCGAAGGCTGGTAAGGTTGATGCTAAGTAGGCTGATTGCCTCTTGCATAGGATGAGCCGTCAAGGCTCATCGGTACTGCGCTGCTGACGCTGTTGCTGTGTGTTGACTGTGCAGGAGTTGTAGGCTGCTTGTAGGTCGACATGAAGGAGAAAAACTTCTCTACGAAGGCCAGGTCAATACCCGAGGAACGAGCCACAGGCTGAATGGATGCTCCTGCAGTTGCGCCTTGAGTTGTGTCTTGCACAGCTCCTTGATGAGAGCCTGCCTCAGTCTGTAGATCAGAAATTGTGATTCTTGATTAATGAAACTGGAGTTGTTGCGAGTAAATATGTCATCAAGTTAGAAACGCACTGAAGGAGTTTGTAACGGAGCGTAGTTCCTCACTAGCTCTCATACCATGTTGGGCTGAGAAAAGCCCAAGGATCTTTTCAGAAAACTAAGTCCTTGTAACAGAGTGATTGATAGCATAGCGGAAGTCTTTGATGAACCCTTGTACTGGTATAGATCATAGCAAAGGGATACAAGAGTTTGCACTTCGAGGAGAATACGTAGGGTCTAACTGATTATGCACTTTGGGGGGTACACTCCCTTTACAACTCGATAAGAACGACTCGGGTAACCACCCATACTGTAATACCGGGACGGTTATTTGTCCTTTCTGTTGCGCTGACTTGACTCTTGTACTATTGTTATAGGCCAGATAGGTGCACGCTTATAGAGAGTACAGCACCATAGCACAAAACCAGCTTGTATGCCTCAATCTAGTTATTGTGTTATTCTGAGATGGTATCACGCTAGGTTAGGTCCCCCTCCCCGCTTACGCTTCTGCCCCTAGCCCTAGCCCTAGCCCGTGTCCTAGCCGTGCCCTATCCCTAGCCGCGCTTGCGCCCTAGTCCGCGCCGGCCCTACTAGTCTGTGCCGGCCCCGCCACTTTGCGTCGGCCCCGCTAATTTGCGCCGCCTCCCCTAGTCCGCGCCGGTCCCGTCCCTAGTCCCTAGCTCGCTGCTGGCCCTTCGCGCGCCGCACGAGCCTGCTGGCCCCTAGCTCGCCACTGGCTTGCAGCTTGCCGCTGGCCCCTAGCTCGCCGCTGGCTTGCAGCTCGCCACTGGCCCCTAGCTCGCCCGCTGGCCCTTCTCGCGCCGCGTGAGCTCTCACCTGTTGGCCCCTAGCTCGTCGCTGGCCCTACACGCGCCACGCGAGCCCTCGCCCGCTGGCCCCTCGCTCACCGCTGGCTCTTCGCACACCGCGCGAGCCCTAGCCCACTAGCCCCTAGCTCGCTTGCCGGCCCTAGCTCGCTCGCCACCCCTCGCGCGCTCGCTGGCCCTAGCTCACCGGCCCTAGCTCGCCGGCCCCAGCTCGCCGACACTCGCTCGTTGGCCCACGATCACTCGCTGCCCCCTAGCTCGCTGGCCCCAGTTCACGCCAGCCCCTGTTCGCACCGGTCCCCGTTCGAGCCAGCCCCAATTCGCGCCGGCCCCTGTTCCTGCCGACCCCAGCTCCCCACAGTCTCTGCTTGCCACTGTGACGTCGTGCCGCGGTGCCGCCGTGCCGCCATGCTGCCGTGCTGCTGTGCCGCCATGTCACCGTGCCGCCGTGTCACCGTGCCGCTGTGTCGCGGTGCTGCTGTGCCGTCGTCAGCTGCTGCAGCTGTGGCGATGGCGGACGCTGTGCTCGGCCTGGACGAGGAGGGTCGGGCGATCGACTTTGAGGCGTGGCTCACCGACCTCAGCCACTCGCTGAGGGGATAGCGCCATGATGGCCAGTCTCTGGCTGTCTACTGTACGTCGACAGTAAGATCCCCTGCCCCGACCCACCTGCTGCCCTCTCAGACCCCCCACGCCCGCTGAGCGTGAGGCCTTGGTCTGGGAGTCGCGAGAAGCAGTTGCGCAGCTTGCTATCAGTCGCGCCATCCCCCTGTCTGAGCGCCCCCACTACAAGACCCTAGAGACTGTGAAGGAGTACTTAGATGCCATCATTGCACGCTATTCCAATCCCTCATCCACTTCTGTCGGTCGTCTTCTCCTCCCCCTTCTCTTCCCTGACCTTGCGGCCTTTCCCAATGTCGCTGATCTCGCCACTCACCTGCGCACGCTAGTGGCTAACTACCGCGCTACTAGCACTGAGGCTGAGCTCCTTGTACTGCCTCTCCCCCTTGGTGCTACCCTTTACTTCCTTGTCACGCGCTTTCCTGGCCACTGCCCGCGACCACTTCCTTGGCCTCCAACCTGCTGACCTCATCCTTGCTGACTTTGTCACAACCCGCTAGTGCTCTATCGCTCAGTCGAGCAGTACTGCAGCGGTCCCTATTTTCCAGGGCTGTGCTCCCTCCCAGAGCACTTACTCTGACATCTTTGACACTGTTGCTGAGAAGGCCTCTACTGCGGAGACTGCTGCGGTGGCCTCAACACAGTCTCGCTAGGGTAGGGATGCCGGGCCGGGGGGGGGCGTGGCGACGGGAGGGGTGGCGGGGGTGGCGGAGGTGGCGGCGGTGGTGGAGGGGACGGTGGTGCAGACGAGGGTGTTATAATCACAATAGGCTTAGATGTGCCTATAATGAGAGATAGAGAGCACAGTCGGATTTCCGTCAGACGGCTTCAAATATCGATAAAGATCTGGTCGCTGAATCAAATGGTGATCTGTAAGTTGGATCTCGAGTGCGTTGCTGTCGTCTATCCGCAGCAAGTTGAATCATGAAATTCCATGAAGATTTGACGACGCTATGGCGGTTTGACTGGCAGGAGGTATAGGAGCCACTATAGTCTTGGGAGTACAAACTTAGCAAGAAGAGTTCGAGAGGGAGATGGTTCTCAGCCTCTACATACCCCAAGAGCCGAGGTCCAGGTTGGTGGTACACCACCACAGAGTCCCCAACCATGAAGAGTCTCGAAACCAACCCTCCAAGGGGCTACACCAAGTGAAATGTAACACTACACGAAGTAACGTTACTATTTTCACTATATAATATTTATCCGCGTCCCTTGGGCTTGAAATCTTGAGCTCTTGTTCTTGGATCTGCAAGATAAATTCTTCTTGAGTTGATGGGGGCTTGCTGCACACACCTGCGACACGATGGACACTTCATACTCGAAAAATAGAAAAAAACACATGCGACACACAAACGACGACTTGACATACGAGTTGTAAAAACTCGCTAATGTCTTGACCGACACAAACCACATTGTGATACACCATTCAAACATACACACAAGCACTGGATAACAATGACATAGACTCACAATTCATTCCATGCCATGCATGCACACACACAAACAAGGACGACAAGCCGAGTGCAAGCCATAAGGTTGCACCAGCAAACTCCCCCTCGGATTGTTGGCCTTAGAATCTGCTCCCCTTAGTTCAGAGCCATCCCAGCAAGCTTGCAACACTTCTAATGCTGCTGCTCAACCAGCCTCTTGGTCATCATATCAGCAGGCTGCGCCGTCGTCTTCACGTAGTGCAACTCCACTTCACCCGCGGTTACCATGCTCCTCACCCAATGCCACTTCACCTTCATGTGCTTGGTAAGGCCATGAAGAACGGGGTTCTTAGCCAATACAATAGCACCCTGGCTATCACAGTAGAGTGGGGTAGGTCCTTGCTGCTCCTCCCCCAATTCAGCTAGCAAACGCCGCTGCCACACAACCTCTCTTATGGCACGGAAGAGTGCCATGTAGTCGGACTCCACCGAGCTCAATGCTTGGTCCACTTGCTTCTTGCTCTCCCAAGCTGTTGGTCCTCCACCAACACAGCAGATGAAGCCTCCCACACTTGTCATGTCCTCTGGTTCTGATGCACAAGACGCATCAGAGAAGGCGGTGAGAAAGAGCCTCTCGGTTTCGACTACATCCGCACCCTTTTGACGCCTTTGTGCCGCCGCGGAGTATTGCAGTCCAACAGTTGCTGTTTGGCCAAGGTACTTGGCCACCATCTCTCCAGCTGCTACCTGCTCCTCATTAGGGCATTGGACAACCCTAGCCAGCTGCCCGGTAGCAAAGGCTGCATCCGGCCTTATGTGAACGGCCGCATACATGAGGCTGCCCACCAAGGAGTGAAAACGCCGCCTCTCCTCTTCACCAACACTTTCCTCCACTGGTCCTTTCACACACTTGAACCCTGAGGGAAGAGGAGTAGCCACATGACCTTCACTCTTCCCAAAGTTTGCAGCCAAGGCCTCCAAGTACTTCTTTTGATGCACTCGCATCCACCGCTTCTCCACATCTCGCTCAATGTGAAGCCCAAGGTAGTAGTTGACGTCACCAAGGGTCTTGCACTTGAACTTGTCTTGAAGCTTCAGCATCACCTCCTTCACAAGGTCAGAGGAGGGTGAGAATATGAGGATGTCATCCACATAAACCACCATGAAGCTCCTCTGCTCCCCCTCGCCAAGCATGAACAAGGATTGATCGGCCGTTGAGGGAGTGAAGCCGATCGCCTCCAAGACTTCCCGCAGCTTGATGTACCATTGCCTAGGGGCTTGCTTGAGGCCATAGAGTGCTTTCTTCAGCTTCCACACTCTGCCACTCCCATCATAGTACCCCTCTGGCTGCTCGATGTAGGTTTCTTCCTCCAAGACGCCGTTGAGGAAGGCCGTTACAATGTCCATTTGCTTCACCACCCATCCTTTGATGGCCGCCGCGGGAAAGAGAGTTCGAAGGGTTGTACCCTTCACCACAGGAGCATACACTTCATTGTAGTCCTTCTTCTCCTGCTGCTAATACCCCTTGGCTACAAGTCTGCTCTTGTAGCGCTCAATGTTGCCGTCGGCGTCGGTCTTGCGCTTGAAGAGCCACTTGGAAGAAATCGCCTTACGCCCCGGAGGTAGGTTCACCAAGTCAAACGTGTCGTTCTCGATGATGCTCCCCATTTCTTCATCTGAGGCCTTCTTCCACTCCTTCCCATTGGGGCCCTCCCAAGCCTCCTTGGGATTTGTAGGCTCCCCCAGTATCTCCACCGGAGAGAAGAAGGCAAAGGCGCACTCCTCGCTTTCATCTTCCGCATCATCACCTAGCATGAGAGCCGAACCGGTCAAGGTTGAGTTGGCTGGTCCTCCAAGCCGTTCATAGCTCAACCTATTGGGGGGCTGAGTCCTCCTTCTCCCCCTTCCTTCCTCCTCTGCTGCAGGGACTTGAATGCTCTCATGGCTTTGCGGTAAGTCCGGTCGGTTCTCGCGAGCACTTGTAGCACGAGGCGGAAGTGGCTGTGCACGCTCATTACCTTGCTGCACCTCCTCCTCCTCCTCATCCCCATTCATTTGGGGAGATGGCCTCGTGATTGTGCTGCTGCTACTCAGCTCCAAGGGCAGCTCCACATGCTCCAAGCCGGTACTCTTCACCTCTCCAAGCCGCACACCAATCTTCGCTTGGTTCTCCGCCTTCCACTCCTTGTACGGTAAGTTCTCCATGAACTTGCAATCTCTGCTCACCAAGAACTTCTTGGTAAATGGGTTCCAAAGAAGCCATCCCTTGCTGTTTTGAGCCATGCCCAGGCGCACGGCCCATGTTGCCTTGGCATCAAGCTTGTTGTGCCGAAGTTTCTTAGGCACAAGTGCCATGCACATGCACCCGAACACCCGAAGCATATCCACCTTCGGCCTCCTTCCAATCCACTCCACATAGGGCACCCATTTGTCTTCTCCCACATGAGTCAAGGCTCTGTTCTTGGCCACACAAGCATGCCGCACCGCATCCGGCCAAAAGTAATTGGGTAGACCGGCTTCAATGAGAAGTCCCCGAGCCGTCTCCGTGAGTGTCCGATTCGCACGCTCGGCGATGCCGTTCATTGCAGGAGAGTAGGGCATGGTAAGAGAGTGCCTTATGCCCTGCTTCTTCAGCCAAGTTGAGAAATCCTTGCTCAGGAACTCTCCCCCACAATCAGTGCGAATCGCCTTCACAAGTCGGTCTTGTTGCCGCTCCACCATCGGCAACCAATCGGTCTTCACCGTTTCAGCTACGTCAATCTTCTTGGGCAGCACATACACCCAGGTCATGCGAGTGTAGACGTCCACAATGGTGAGGAAGTACTCTGCTCCAGCAGCTCCAAGCTTCAAGGGGCCCACCACATCCATCACCACCTCATCAAGTGGTGCCTTCGCCGTTGTCTCCGAGCTATGGAACGGGTAGCGGGTGAACTTGGCTTGCATGCATGTTGGACAGCCAAGCACCTCATTGGGCTCCCCCTTGACACGTATCCCACTGACCATCTCTTGCTTAACAATCTGCTGCAAAATGGGCAATGCCACATGCCCCATTCGCCGATGCAAGGTCAGCCAATCACACTCTCCCGTAGCGGAAGTCGGGTTGGAGAAAGCGGCACTCGCAATTGTGCCCCACAAGCTCTCTCCTTTCTCCTTCGCCGCTGCTGCTTTGCTGATCTCAGACTTCTCCTCCTCATTTCCACCACCTTTGGCTGCTGCACCACTCTCCTTGGGTTCACACGCCTTGCTGGTCTCTCCAAGGTTGCACTCCTTCGAGTCACTCTTGGTGCCACTTTGCTTTCCGTGATCACCGCCACCAACCGCTTCACGCTTGGTGCTGACGCTTGCTGCCACTTGCCTCTCTTTAGGCATGGGGACCACTGGGATTTGCCACATCTCATTGTAGATGTCCCTGTCCTCATGAAGGTCCCAAAGATTCCGGTCACCAAGCCTTGCGGTATAGGTTTTGGATCCCTTGGAAGATGTGTCCATGCCGGCCTTTTGCAAACGCCGAACGGAAATCAGGTTGGCTGCTAGGTTGGGCACCAAAAGCACGTTCTTGAGGCCCACCATCTTCCCATCAGCACCCTTGAACATGGCCTTGCCCATGCCCTTCACCTCTGCTCGCTGCCCCAAAGCCGATGTAACATGCTTGACCGGCGACGGTTCGAGTTCGGTGAGCAAGTCCGCACGAGGTGTCATGCTGTAGGTGGCGCCGCTATCGATCACCCAAAAGTCCAGAGAGTGAAGGGTGACCTTTCCCACAGTAGCTGGCTCCTCAAAGCCATCCACACCTCCTGCTGCAGCTGCCGCTTGCGTGGAGACAAAGAAGAATTGGCCCGGGTATCGATCTTCACTCGAGTCCTTGTTGTAGTCTCCACCTTTCATGCTTGCCGCTTCGCCTCCACGGCCACCACGGCCTCCACGACCTCTGCCTCTTCCTCCCCTTGCTCCTCTGCCTTCTTGGCCTTGAGAAGGGGTCCATCCATCAGGCAATCTGAAGCAATCTCTCCACATGTGGCCGGTCTTGTGGCAAAAGTGGCATTCGCCATCAAATCGACCGCGCCCACGCCCGTAGCCATTTTTGTTGTTGTTGCTGCCACATCCTCCATTACCACGGCCTCCATTGAAGTTACTGCTGCCAAATCCTCCTCCTCGCCCTCTGCCCCTTCCACGGCCGTGCCCACGGCCCATGCTTGCTACTCCGGCACCATCGGGACCCGCCAATTTGCGACGGCGGAAATCTTCTTGTAAGATTTCCCGCTTCACATCTTCGAGTGAGAGACGGCGCAGATCTCGATTAAGGTTGATGATGAGCGAGGACCATGAGTCCGGAAGTAAGGCCAGCAGCTTGGTCTTCTTTTGAAGGTCACTGTAGTTCAGGTCAGCTCCTTCGAGCCGTGTCAACAAGTCGAAGAATTTCTGCACTCCTTCCTCCACCGGTTCGCCTTCGTCAATTCGAAGTGCCGCCATTTGCCGCTCCAAAACCACAGCCACCGCCGCTGTTGCAGGAGCGTGTACACCCTTGAGAGCAGCCCATGCCTTTGGTCCCTTTGCTGGTTCACGCTGAAAAGGCTTGATGTGACGGATTTGGCTGCTCCCCAACGCTTGCCCAAGTAGAATGTAGCCTTGTGCGCTCTTCCGCACCCACGGGCTCTTCTCCGGGTCGTTCTCGGGGCGCTTCTTCGTTCCTTCCATCACCTCCAGCAGATCATAGTGGTCAAAAATGTTCTCCATCTTGAAGGACCACTCAGCAAAGTTGTCACCGTTGAACTTGTCAAGGCCAAACACTCTAGGCTCATCCCTAGAGGGTCCAAGGCTAGGTTGCACCGGAGCAACGGGTGGATCTTGGTGTTGACCTTGTGCTTGGGCGTCTTCTCTGCCTCCAACACCTTTGCCACCCCCTTCCTCAGGTCTAGGCATGGTCGAGACGGCTCCAAGGGGCTCTGATACCACTTGTTATAATCACAATAGGCTTAGATGTGCCTATAATGAGAGATAGAGAGCACAGTCGGATTTCCGTCAGACGGCTTCAAATATCGATAAAGATCTGGTCGCTGAATCAAACGGTGATCTGTAAGTTGGATCTGGAGCGCGTTGCTGTCGTCTATCCGCAGCAAGTTGAATCATGAAATTCCATGAAGATTTGACGACGCTATGGCGGTTTGACTGGCAGGAGGTATAGGAGCCACTATAGTCTTGGGAGTACAAACTTAGCAAGAAGAGTTCGAGAGGGAGATGGTTCCCAGCCTCTACATACCCCAAGAGCCGAGCTCCAGGTTGGTGGTACACCACCACAGAGTCCCCAACCATGAAGAGTCTCGAAACCAACCCTCCAAGGGGCTACACCAAGTGAAATGTAACACTACACGAAGCAACGTTACTATTTTCACTATTTAATATTTATCCGCGTCCCTTGGGCTTGAAATCTTGAGCTCTTGTTCTTGGATCTGCAAGATAAATTCTTCTTGAGTTGATGGGGGCTTGCTGCACACACCTGCGACACGATGGACACTTCACACTCGAAAAAATAGAAAAAACACATGCGACACACAAACGACGACTTGACATGCGAGTTGTAAAAACTCGCTAATGTCTTGACCGACACAAACTACATTGTGATACACCATTCAAACACACACAAAAGCACTGGATAGCAATGACATAGACTCACAATTCATTCCATGCCATGCATGCACACACACAAACAAGGACGACAAGCCGAGTGCAAGCCATAAGGTTGCACCAACAGAGGGGACCGAGGCTGGTGCTCCAGCGCAGCAGCAGGAGCAGCAGCAGCATCAGTCGCAGCAGAAGCAGCAACAACAGCAGCAGCTGTGGGAACCCCCACCGCCGTGGTGGCATGGAGGCTCTAGTGGTGGTGGTCGTGGTAGTGGGCTGCGTGGCTTGGTGTCAGGTGGTAGCTCCGTGCGGTGACCTGCCAGTACCACCTTCAGTCCGACCCCCGCCGCGGCACTGTCTGCGACCGTCCCGGTCACTCCGCTGCTCGCTGCTACCGCCGCCTCGACAAATTCTTCCGTCTCCGGTTTAGCCCAGCGTCGAACCCCCCCGATAGGCAGAGCCTGGTACGTCGCCGTTTGCCGGTCTTTGTGATGGATATGGATCAGATTCGCTCTGTTAAGTATGCCATGTACAGTGATAACTCTAGTGTGACTGTACCTTATAACCATGTGTTGCCTAGTGTAGGTGTGCCCCCTGTGTGTAGTCTAGGCTCCCCTGCTGCGTCAGGCGTAGGACCTCCTTATTTGTTTAGCCTAGGTTCCACGCTAGCCCCTCCACCGGCTGAAGCTACCGCCGCGCTCTCTTTCATGCTAGACTCTGGTGCGTCCGCCTGCTTATTTCGCAATCACACTGCGCTCACGCCGATTGCCGCCCCTGCAGCTGTCACGCTTGCTGACCCCTCCTCAGGTCCAGTAGTTGAACGTAGCTCTACCACCTTTTCTCTTACAGGCCTGCACATCCCCTCGTTCTCTAGGAACCTAGTTGGTGTCCGTTGTCTTCAGAACTTCGGCGTCACCACTACCTTCCCCGGTCATGAGCATTGAGCTGTCTGTACTGAGGCCGCCTCAAGTGTCGCCTTTGCGATGTTCCCCTGAGACCCGGTGTCTGGCATGTTTACATTGGACACTGCTTCTCCCCCGGTGGGCGCGTCCTCCCCGGGTCCTGCGTCTACCCAGGTCGCTGCGGCTTGCTCATATCGGTCGCTCACTCACCCGTCCCTTCTGTGGCACCACCGCCTAGGTCAACCTGCACTCCCGCATCTGCGTCACATGTCCCAGCATGGTCTCGTCCTAGGTATCCCTTCATCGCTTCCTGCCCTCCCTCCCTCTCCTGTGCCGTTGTGCACGCCCTGCGTCGAGGGCTGGCTGCACCGTGCTCCTCACTCCTCCTCGCTTCGCCATTCCAATACACCACTCCAGACCCTGCACCTGGACGTCTGGGGCCCAGCCCCCGTCTCTGGGCCGCATCGAGAGTGCTCCATTCTCGTGCTCGTTGAGGACTACATGCGATGCACCACGATGTTTCCCCTGGAGCAAATGGCCGATGTGCCTGGCGTTCTTATCCCGTGGATCGTAGCTGTGCGCCTCTAATGCGGTCTCCCTGTGCTGTGTCTCCACTCCGACCGTGGCGGCGAGTTCGCCTCTGATCGGCTTGGATACAGTAGTTCTATCGTGCAGAGGGCATCACCCAGTCGTACACCCTACAAGACTCCCTGCAGCAGAATGGGGTCACTGAGCAATGCATCGGTTTGGTCATAGAGGTGGCTCGTACCTCCATAATCCATGTCGGTGCACTGCATTTTCTATGGTCATTCGCCGTTCGCTACGCCGCTCACCAGCTAAACCTGTGGACGCACGCCCAGCGGCCGCAGGTTTCACCGACCCTTCTTTGGACCGGGTTCCCTGGTGACGCTTCCGCATTCCACGTCTAGGGCTGCCTTGCTCACGTCCGTGCCTTTGGCATGGACACTC